TAACAATATATATATATATATATATATATATATATATATATATATATATATATGATTCATAAGGACAACTCCAATTATAGGTAATTTATTTTTATTCTTTTCGTGTAGTTTACAGTCATTTTTAAAAAATATTTTTTGTCATGTCTTATTTTCTTCATTATTTCAAAATCGATCTTCATTTCTCTCTATTGGTTTCTTCTCTATTTTTGTCTCTCATTTTTCTTACCCACCCATTTACTTTAAACGTCAATCCATGAATGTTTTGTCTATTTTCAACTCAACCCTGCCTTAACCTTACGAAGACAACTCGACCGCAGAGAAGATAAAATCAATGAGTTAAAAAAAATGTTCCAACTTTAACACTTAAACCTTTCATCTAGACAGGGTTTTCATTTTTGACTCGGGACACTTCTTGCTTGTATGAAAGAACAGGTAATGATTGATAAAAATGTGAAATACCTCAATGAGTTACGCCCGAAACTTTAAGTCGACTGACGCTTACAACAAGTCGCAAAAGATACCAAGTGTTAGTCTCTACAGATAAATCTCGTGCGACCATCTTGAACGAAAAATGAAATTTATAAATACATCCTTCTTTTTCTATGTGCCATCATCCATTCAGGACACAGGCGATCATGACCCTCCACAACATTCTATCCCTTGTGACTCATAATTGTTTTTCTCCCTTTGCTAAAACACCGGTTCCGTCATTCATTCACAAGGTAAGTAGTTCTCTGCTTTCCTTCATCTCTCTTGCCCTCAACATGCCTTGTGAGGGTTAAGTTTTTCACGCCCTCCTTCCTCATATGTTCAAGGGATTTGAGCTGACTTTTCTTGATTCTGACTTCTTTATATTGCAATATTCTTTAAGACTTCTTTGTTGTTTACTCCAGTATGTCCATGGATTTATCAGTGCCGTTCTGTAAGACCACATTTCTGCTGCCACTAGTTTTTCTTCATCTGGGAGATTACTGTCTAACATTCACTGGCATATAAGATATCACATAGCAATCCATCACTATTTTCTTTTGTTTCTAACAGTTTTTTCCCCATTTCTAACGATATTTGCCGTTTCTCAGCACCTTACATAGCTTTTTGAATGCTTCTTTCGTGAGTCTAATGAGTGCTCGGATCTCGGTGTCACATTTTGCATCCACTATTTAAACGCTTCCCAAATATTTAAACTTCTGCATCTATTTTATGTTTATATTTCCAATTCGTAACCTTTGAACTTTTTCTCTTGCTGATGACCATACTTTCTCTTTTCTTGCAGTTGATAGTCTTTTATCGGACTCTCTTCTACCACCTTGTATTGTAGTTTCCATTCTGCGTCGACCATCAACACAGTGTCATCTGCGTATCTTATAGTGTTTAGCGCGTATTTTCTCTAATAAAATTTAACGAATATTCAGGCCGGTAGACGAAAATAAATATATATACTGATTAAATAAATAAATAAATGAAACTTCCATTCAAATACGAGCATCCACTAAAAATAACGTTTAAGCAATAAAAAATATGTCGGATTAATAAATAAATCCTGGTATGGTCTCCAGTTCCTTAGGATAACGTCACTGCAGGGGTTAAATAAATCTTTGGAGAAGATGCAATCTTGTCTCGCGCCCCTTTCCTTACAGCTACACAATTTATTTTCCATCCGTATGCAGGCGGTTTGCTCGCAGTATACGTTCTGGGTTATTTTAATATTTTTTTTCCAAAAACAATCTTCTTCTATGTGTCGTGTCCATTCAGGGTGGCAGAAATCATGTTTCTCCACAATTTCCTGTACTTTGTAGCTGATAATAAATTTTATTTCTGTTATCTCTCGTAAAATCTGTTCTGCCGTTCATTTACTCGCTTTTTTTGGTTATGCGTTGTTTTCATATTTCCCTCTCACCTTATACATATATAAACTGTTTTCTCTCTATCTATCTATCTCTCTCTATCAATCTCTCTCTCTCTTTCTCTCTAAAAAAAGGTTGCTGTCATCTGAAAGATGATAATAAGATGGAGCAATGTCAAGAGAGTAAGGAGGATGGGGTAAAAATATCAAGATTTTTTTTACCATAACCTTTTCTTGAGTGACACGAGCAATATGCAATCATGGCTTTTACTGCAAAGGCAACTCCAAAGTAATGCCTGCTATTTATTTCTACGGAATCTGCAATAGATGCAGATACATCGTTGGAGAGATTAAATTTTCTAATTATTCAGTCATCGCCCGAAAAATGTCTTGTTTTGTCACCAACATTTCATATCATCAGCACTACTGAAATATGCCACCTGCATCCAAATTGTGCTCGCATCCACTGTTTGGTTTCCACAAACTTTTAGCAACTGAATGAATGCCAAAGGATGCAATTTCTCTAACGTGGATAAATTCAATGACACCTATACGTTGTAAGAATTTTCACGTAAAACGCTGTTTTACCAGAATACCGCATAGCTGATTTATGCAACTGTTGGTTCCAGCCCGTGTGGGAATGAATGCAAAAAAAAAAAATCATCCCACTCTATAAATTCATAGACAATACATATAGATGCATGCTGGGATTTCTTCCTAACCAATAAGAATTATCTGACTTAATTTTGTTCTTTCTTGTCTTGATGTCAAGACGCTGCGGTCACTTGTTTGTATCCCTATTGTGTGTTAACAGCATTCTTAATTTGTGTATATTTTGCCTTATTACTTTTGCCTTGCCTTATATATATTGTTTACTTGTTTAATATTATTTTTGCTCTGTTCTTTTGTAATTGTTTATTGTAAATTTGTCAATTTTGTTTGTTGTGCAATTCTGCCAATTACATATAACCATGGCCAATTAATCTACGTTAAAGAAGAAAAAATATGGGTTATTAGAGGAAAGGCTAGACATCTACAGTTGAGCCTCTACAGTTATATCAATATAATCTGTATTTTGCCTCGAGAGCCACTATATTATAATCGGACGCATTAATTTCGGAGAATCTCTCGTAAATTTGCCACTTCTTCAGTTCAGATTTTGTTGATATAATTAAGATTATTTTCATTTTTCCTCTCCTTAATTTTTACCAAAAGACTAACACCTCACCTTTTATCAAATCTTGTAAGGAATTGTCGTATTTGACGGCTTATTAGACGCAGTCAGATTTTGTCCTGGAATATTTAAGAAAAACAAATGCACATATGACAACCAAAAAAATCAAAATTATAACCTTACATTTAAGTAACATTCTCACTAAACATAACAAAAACACTTAGAGTATTAGCACAAATTATATTACTGTCGCATATTTTACAATAGAAGTGAGTTCTAGTTTAATTACCAGGATATTTTTTGGAAAAGAAAATTTTTAGTACATTTCTTCAGGCATTTATTAAAAATTATTTTAGCTGTTTTTCAGGGAGCAACATCTGCATATGGAGTAAATTCATAATAGCTACAAAGAAATCTACTGGTATCAGCGAATACCGGCACATAATGGTAAAATAATAGAAATATAGTACTTGTTGGTAAATGAAGTCACATACCATGCATGTAGAATGGTAAATTTCAATACCTGTATATTAACAAAAACACACATGAAGCAAGCAGCAATATATCAGTCAATGCAAATATTTCTGTAAAATCTGGTATTTCTACAAAACAAGCATCAAAATGTTGTGCAATTCCATAAATTTCTTAATTTCTTTTTCTTGGATGAATTTTTCAGTGATATTTTTATTGATATCATGCTTGTTCACTTTCAGAAGTCCTAGTTTCACAGCTAAGCTTTATGTGTGTACTGATTCCTGATGAACCGCATATTTTTTCGTAGTCTTTATATCCTTCTCATACAAGATGGTGCTGTATTGGATGCAGGGTAAATTTTTGGTGCATGCTTTTTGGGAAAATAAGACGGGAAATACGGTATTTTCCTCTCTGCAGCCTAGACGTCGAAAGCCTGCCGCTATTTCCTATGTTCAGATGGGTTCCACTCATGACCTTAATAGGTCCAGACCTTCACAGCTAGAACCACACCATAATACTTATACGAAATCGAATCATCTATATTCCTCCGTATTCTATTTGTTAGGAGGAAGTCCCACCTAGAGAAAGTTTTTTTTTTCCCAAAGAACTGATATTTACGGAATAAACACTTTTCGTGGATACGACCGAGAAATTTACAATCTTAACCTCTTCAAACCAAATGCCAACCGTTATATAATCCTAGATATATTTCTATATATCCCTATAATCTTCACTTCGTTCTACCTCCTCTTACATTGATTTTTAATCAGTTCAACCCAAGCAAGACAATAAAGGCATTAAAACAGAAGGGAGTTACTGATTGTTAGAGAATATGAGGAAAAATACTATTATGGGGAAAGAAAAATAAAAGAATTTATAAGATAGAAGACAACGATTGAAATTGCATTTAATTTTTTAAAGATCAAAATTGACTTGGAAGCAAGAAGCCGAAAGAAAGTTCCACAGGCGAAATGTGCGATAGAAGAAACGCTTAGCATAGAACTTACGGTGACATCTACCCATTTCAACTGTAAAATGATGAGATGTTGCTGCCAATCTAGCACTAAGCTTAAATTCACAATATCTAGGTTCCATAACAGAAAATTAAATCAGAACAAATATCATGAAAGTATTTACAGAAAAAAGCACAGAAGGCTACATTACGACAGTGGGAAAATAACTGAAGTCGAGATGCCAGTTTAGGACCAATAACAGTGCAGATTCTTCATTGAATTTTATGAAGAATATCTAAATATATAGCGGGAACCCCAGGCCATACGTGACAGCAATATTCAAAGCATAACCGAATGATAGACTTATAAATTTGTAAGATAAATTCAGGAGAGGAAAAATATGTAAAACCCACTTTCCTAGCAGAAGACCTAGCAATTATTTCAATATAATCTTTTCACTTCATGTCAGCGGAAGATTTTTTGCCCCAGAAGGCACAATGAGTCACTTTCCTGTGGCATCACTGATATCATTCGGTAAACATCTACCCTGAGTGCTTATGGCCACACTGCGTTTAAACACCGGTTTTCATGTGATCACTGAAGTTAAGCAACGGTGAGTCTGGTCCGTACTTTGATAGATGGCCGCTTGGATATACGAAGTGCTGTAAGCTTGGATGTGCGTTTGTTAAACCCAAAAATCCTTGGGAAAAGAATGAATCCACCTCTTCTGCCACCAGTTATGGGTTAAATAAGTAAGTATTGTATCACTAAAACATTTTTCTTTCAAAAAAAAAAAAAAATTCTTACAATCTAAAAATATTTTCTGGCTTGAAATACGCTTGAAAAGTTTGATAAGCCGTAATAAATGAATCACTCAATCTATCTTGAGCGGTTCTTGAGCCTTAAATTGAGTGGACTTCAGTAATAAAAAACGAAAACGCAATAGGTATGCGTAAAAGTGTCTATATCCTTTTCATTTGAAAGTTCTTTTTTTGCGTGCTCAGTCTGTTTGCAAGTTTTTCACACTTGGTATCATCTTTGGTTGGAACCTGACTGAAGAGAAAGGGCAAGAGAAAAAGCAAAATGCAATATATCCAACAAAGATAATCTAAAACTAAAAAAAAAAAAAAGAAATCTATAGAGAAAGCATTAAACCTGATAAAAATCGACTTTCAGCGATTGATAAATATGCGAACGAAAGCATAAAAAAGAACGAATATTAAAGAGAAAGTTTAAAGCAGATGAATAGAATGAAGAAAGTGAAGACAAATACATTAGCATTTTGCCTTTTTTTTTTTTTTTTTAAATTTTTATATATTTTTTCTGTCTCTTATAACTTCTCACGGAGCCATTTTAAGTAATGATCGATATTTTGGAACGATATAAAGAAAAAAAAAATGTCTGTCCCGACAAAGTTTAAAATGTCAGCCACTCTTTTACGACTTTCAAAGACCAAGTTCAATAATTGATAAATACAAGTAAAGGATGTTCCAATAACTTGGACCGATTTTAAATGTGAATTAACTTTAAGCGTCCAATGATTTTTTTCTTTTTCTTCCTGATTTAATAACTTTAGTCTTTGGCAATTTCAACCATGGAAAGATTAACAATCAAACAACGTGTTAAAGTTTCAATAGGGCAATTGGCAAAAATTGTTTGTAAATTCAAACAAACTGGGTCGGTGGCAAATGTGAAAACACCATTGTGTGTTCGTTTTTCGCCATTCAGCTGAAAACGTTGCTGCAATGCACGAGAATGTGGCCTAAAATCCAGACACTTCTATTCATCATCGCGCGCAGGAATTGAACCTCTACACAACAACGTTACATCGTTTCCAACTGCCATCTCGGTTGGTCGATTATGTTGACTAAAAATCGCGAAGTGCGAGAAATGCATTTCTGTTTGAACGTCTATTTTCATAATAGGCTTCGATAATTTTAACATGTTGTTTGATTGTTTGAAATTGCTAAAAGAGTTAAGTTGTTAAATCTGAAAGAAAAAGAAAAAATCATTGGACCCTTAAACTTAATTCAATCTTTGGAAGACCTTAGAAGTGAAAGTTATGGAAAGAAATCCCACTAACACGGAGGATTTGTGGGTGAAGCTTCAAGAAGAATGGTCTAAAATTAGTATCGAGGATTGTCAAGAACTGATTCGTTCTTGTAGTCGAAGATGTGCAGCTGTCATTGAGAGCAAGGGCTCATTTACTACATATTGATTGTACATGTATTTTTATTGTTTTTTGCCGTTTACATTGTTTTTCTCAATTTTGTCCCTTACTTTTGGACGATCCTATTTTGAAAATAAATAAATAATTGTTATAATTCTTTTTCTATCCTTTGCAAATGATTCAAATTTTAGTATGTTATTATGGATGATAACGACTACCAGTTGTCAAAATTTCAGCTTTTCACAGTTGTTATTTCTAACAAATATTAGGTTTTAAAATTTTGTCCCTTAGTTTTGGACGCTACTATATATATATATATATATATATATATATATATATATATATGTGTGTGTGTGTGTGTGTGTGTGTGTGGTGGGGGCGGGTGTTTGTGAATGGGCTGTTTCAATTGCCCGTAGAACTCCCACGTGTTGACGGAAGTTACGTTAGCTTTGCCTTCTGATACATGTCACGCTCTGACAATTATGGCTTTCACAGATATCAACCATGTTTAACCAACAACTTGCCAAAATGCGCTCCGCGTCCCAATAATACAAACCCAACCCAGCTACATCTCTACTTCTAACAAAAAAAAAAAAAGCAATTACTTAAGTCATATGAGAAACATTACGGAAAGAACAAGCCTTCTTTTTTTTATCTCTCCAATATACACAAGCAGTAAACACAAAGAAGCGAGTCATAGTGCGAAATTGCATTCAACATTGATAGGAAAGAAAGAAAATAAGATTTTCACTTGGTGAACATAGTCTATATTTTTTCCCTGAGATTATCATCAGGTATCAAATCATATTTTCGAACGGTGTGAGGGTGTTAAATACACATCTGTGACGATGTTATCGACAACTGTAGCCATGTTCCTTCCTTCGAAAGTAAAAACAAAATTCTCCTTCCTAAGAGCCTGCACGTGGAAAAAACGGAATGCCTGTAACTGTCATTAAAAGCGACACTAATTGAGAAATTTAGTCAGTGGGCCCTACAATGGACGCCATTTTGTTCTTCTAATCAAAATCATCATCATCATCTTTCTTTCTTTCTTTCTTTCTTTCTTTCTTTCTTCTTCTTCTTCAGCTCTATCGTCTGGCTGGTGTTCCCACTTGTAATATAATATCAACAGAATAAAAGTGGCCTGTGCGAGTCCATCTCGGGGGACAAACATCGGTAAACTCATCCTTTTCTTCGATATGCCGTGTCCCTTCAGGACGTTGGTAATCATGGCTCTCCACAATTTCCTGTCCTGTGTAGCTCTTAATCTTTTGAGCCATGAACACCGCTTTACAGGCAGCAGAGAAAAATGACATAATGCCCAGCAACCGGTTGAATAGTGGTAGAGAAAAATGACTTCATTCCCAGCCACTGGTTGAACAGTGGCTAAACACTTGTAACTATTTTTTATATCTACCGTGAAACATTGCATACCAATTATTTGCGATATTTTGACTCAAGAGCTCAGACAGAAGGGTTAAAATTGCTCAGGGAAGCAAGGTTTACAGGGTTAATAAATATTTTGCCTTTTTGTTATCTCTTGTCCCACCATCTATTTGCTCAAGTTCAGATTATTTCCGCTGTATAAATATCCACACAACAGCTACCTTTTGTTTTTGCGACATTCTTAGCTGATCACAGTAAATATCAACACAGAGTGAGACTGTTACACAAAGTAAGGCTGGTATATACAGAGACCAGTATACCAATCATGACGCCGAATTCCATAAGCATATACAAAGTACATGCATCACGGGCAAACGTGCGTTATACGCGGAAAGATTATTTTAAAGCAGCGTGTAACTTTCTACTATTACGGACTAAGAGAGGAGCACAGCACCAAAATGTCTTCTTCTATATGCTGTGTCCCTTCAGGGCGTTGGCGATTATGGATCTCCACAATTTCCTGTCCTTTGGATGTTTTAATAATTTTCCGACGTTTTATTACCTACCTTAGACCTTATTCCGACATCCATTTTCTCAAGATCGCTATGTGTCGTTTGCCTCTGTCCCTCTTACTTTCAAACTGTCCTGTGAGTATCAAAATTTCCAAGCCCCCTTTCCTCGTTATGTGCCCTACAAATTTCAACTGTTTCTTTATAATGCTAAGTATAAGAATTCTTTTTGTTTCCATTTTCTCTAAAATATTTTCGTTGCTCAGTTGTTATGTCCATGATATTCTCAGTATCCTTCTGTAGAACCATAATGCTGTTGCTTCAAGTCTTTTCTTCATCTGTAAGAAGACAGTCCAGTATTCACTGCCATATAGGAGGCCTGATAATATGTAACAGTGTAAGCAATAATGGCATCTCAAATTTCCAGGAACCAGTTCTATAAAAGCAGATGATATTTAGGAATCTATTCTGCTTATTTTCTTTTCAATCTGAGACTGGAAACTAGGTACCTCCACTGAATTTTCGATACGTAAGGTTTAAAAATGAAAAAGTATTCTTGAAGATTTCATTTTAGCTTTAAATTGAAAGCTAAATGATTAAATTTATTATTTCCAGTAAGTAAAATATTCTGGGGGTATTTCAAATAGAAATTATATAGATCGGAATCTCAACTTTTTGACCGATCTCAGAAAATTTTCTTAAAAGATGCCTTTTTCTTAATTTTAAGAAATTTGTCAAAAAAACTTACCGGTTTTAAAACTCTTCCAAAAGTAAAATATATTTTTGTGACACGTTATTTGAGTAAAATTAGGAAATTTAAAGTTAAATTAATCTGATTTGAAAGAAATATAGGTTAAAAAGTAATATAGAAGCATTTCTGAACGACGGATCCTGTTTTTTATTGATCTATATTAATGTATCGATGAATTCCGAGGTGATGACAGCTAGTATGGATGACCCAAAAGTGATATAAATTTACGAAATCTAAGTAAACACATTTTTTGTGGGGGTTTGAACTACGTAGTAATTTTTACAAATTAATATATTTTCAGCAATTATTTAATATTTTATTGTCTTTTAATTAGGTTTCAAGATGCTTTATGAAATTTGCGCTTTCTCTAGGTTCTTAAGTTTACTATCGAAGTATACCCCAAACTAAAATAAATACATGAAATAAAAATATTTAGTGAAATTTTAATTAAAATTAAAACTTGAAATTTTGAAGGAATGATTTATAAAGACGTTAATGATGAAACAGAATTGAATAATGAAATTGAAAGAATTGCAGAGCGCCAGACGACTTTTAAATCACGTGAGCTTTTAAAGAATTTTAAAAGCCGGTTTTCCATAGTAGGAAATTGGGAATGTATGTACACTAAATTTTTAAAAAAACATTTGGGTATAAACGACTGTTAGGAGTTTTTCAATTTTTGATTCGTAAATGTACTTTTCACTTAACAATATGACGAAACTGCCGTCTTGAAGCAATGTAGAATATTAAACGATTTTTTTAATATTATAAATTATTTAATTAAAATTTAAAAAAAATGAAAACAATACTTGTAAAAATTATTTATTCATCGAAAATAATATACTCCTTTAGA